ATCGGCAAAAGGATCTTTCAGATATTAATAAAAAACATTTTTTTTCAACACACCCTCCATATTGAAAACAAGACTTTTTAGCGAACTTTTCTACAAAAATTTAGTTTGGGGATGCGCCCGGTGTGACCAAAAATAAAAAAAAAATTAAATTTGTGTGTTAGTGTGACTGTATCCCACATCGAATTGCTTTGATCGATTTTTTTGATAACATTTCATGAGTTGTTAGGTTTGAAAATAAACATGCCAAATTTTGACGGCAGAACTGCGTGCAAAGTACAGAGTCAACCTACTTGACGCCACTTTTCAAATACTCTATCGTTGTACATTTGTTTGACGTTAGTTTTTGGGACACCCTGTATATATCGAATTGCAATGATCGATTTTTTAAATGACATTTCAGGTGGATTTAACTTTGAAAATGAACAAAATTTTGACGACAAAGTACAAAGTCAACCTTCTTGACGCCAGTTTTAAAACTCGCTATGGCTATACATTTGTTTGACGTTACTTTTTGGGACACCCTGTACATATTAAGAAGGCTGTTTGTATCTCACATCGAATTGCTATTATCGATTTCTTTATCAAAATTTCAAGTGGTGTCAGCTTTGAAAATAAACATGCAAAATTTTGACGACATAGCTGCGTGCAAAGTACAGAGTCAACCTACTTGACGACACTTTTCACTCTATCTCTATGCATTTGTTTGACGTTACTTTTTGGGCCACCCTGTACATATTAAGAAGGCTGTTTGTATCTCACATCGAATTGCTATTATCGATTTCTTTATCAAAATTTCAAGTGGTGTCAGCTTTGAAAATAAACATGCAACATTTTGACGACAGTGCCGCGTGCAAAGTACAGAGTCAACCTACTGGACGACACTTTTCACTCTATCTCTATGCATTTGTTTGACGTTACTTTTTGGGACACCCTGTACATATCGAATTGCAATGATTGATTTTTTCAATAACATTTCAGGTGGATTTAGCTTTGAAAATGAACAAAATTTTGACGACAGAATTGCGTACAAAGTCAACCTTCTTGACGCCACTTTTCAAATTCTCTATCTCTATGCATTTGTTTACATTACTTTTTGGGACACCCTGTACATATTAAGAAGGCTGTTTGTATCTCACATCGAATTGCTTTGATCGATTTCTTTATCAACATTTCAAGTGGTGTCAGCTTTGAAAATAAACATGCAAAAGTTTGACGACAGAGCTGCGTGCAATGTACAGAGTCGACCTACTTGACGTCACTTTTCACTATATCTCTATGCATTTGTTTACGTTACTTTTTGGGACACCCTGTACATATCGAATTGCAATGATCGATTTTTTCAATAACATTTCAGGTGGATTTAGCTTTGAAAATGAACAAAATTTTGACGACAAAGTACAAAGTCAACCTTCCTGACGCCACTTTTCAAATTCTCTATCGCTATACATTTGTTTACGTTACTTTTTAGGTCACCCTGTACATATTAAGAAGGCTGTTTGTATCTCACATCGAATTGCTTTGATCGATTTTTATTTATGTGGTGTCAGCTTTGAAAATAAACATGAAAAATTTTGACGACAGTGCTGCGTGCAAAGTACAGAGTCAACCTACTTGACGACACTTTTCACTATATCTCTATGCATTTGTTTGACGTTACTTTTTGGGACAACCCCGTACATATTAACAAGCCATTTTTAGCACGATAGTCTCGCACTTTTGAACGAAAGCTGTGTCAGCAGCTATAAATACAGTAAGCAAAAAGAAATATAAATATGAGAGAAGATAAGAGATATATGGACATAATACAGGTAATGTAAATAGTTTATCGTGCAACCTTGGAATTGATAAAAATTTTATTTAACTTATGAAACAGTTTCTTTATAGACACATTATTATGGTTTCACTATCTATTACTCATTGTAAAATGACTGGTTTATTTTTAGTTCAAAAAACAAAAAATGTTTTATTTGAAAAATTTTCGAATAATCACAAGTTTTTAAAATTCCAAATATTTTCACAATTTTATAATTTCCCACAATTTCCGTCCAAATGTATAGTTCGGAAGTTTTCAATTTTCAAAATCACGAATATCGAAGTTGGAAATGATTAAAAATTTTGAAAATTCCTCAAGTTTTCGAAACATTGGAAATTCCCACAATTTCAGTTTCAAACGTAACGTTTGGAAGTTTTCAATTTACAATATCATCAAACATCAAAGTTTTCAAAAGTATTAGAAGATTAAAAAATTAGAAAATTTTAAAAAATTGGAAATTCCAAAAAAAAATATGCAATTTTGAAAATTTCCAAGACTTTGGAAGTTTCCACAATGTCGGTTCTGAACGTAAAGTTCGGAAATTTTCAATTTTCAAAATCATCAAACATCAAAGTTTTCAAAATTATTAAAAGATTAGAAAATTTGAAAATTTTCAACAATTGGAAAATTTCAAAAAGATTATAAAATTGTGCAAATTCCCAAAATTTTGGAAATTCCTACAAGGTCCGTCCTGAACCTAATGTTCCGAAATTTTCAATATTCTGAATAATCAAACATCGAAATTTCCAAAAATTGTTAAATCTCCAAAAGATTAAAAATTATAAAAATTCCTTAAAATTTGAAAATTCCCACAATTTCCGTCCGAACGTATAGTTCGAAAGTTTTCAATTTTCAAAATCACAAATATCGATGTTGAAAACGATTAAAAATTTTGAAAATTCCTCAAATTTTGAAAATTCCCACAATTTCCGTTTCAAACGTAACGTTGGGAAGTTTTCAATTTACAATATCATCAAACATCAAAGTTTTCAAAAGTATTAGAAGATTAAAAAATTTGAAAATTTTCAAAAATTGGAAATGTCCAAAAAATATGAAATTTTGAAAAGTTCCAAAACTTTGTAAATTTCCACAATGTCGGTTCTGAACGTAAAGTTCGGAAATTTTCAATTTTCAACATCATCAAACATCAAAGTTTTCAAAATTACTAGAAGATTCAAAAATTGAAAAATTACCAAAAGATTTCAAAATTTTGAAAATTCCCACGATTTTCAAAATCAAAAATGAAAATTTTCAAAAATTGAAAAATTTCCAGTCATTAAAAATATGGAAAATTCATTTTATTTTGAAAATTCCCACAATTTTCGTTTCGAACTTTGCGTTCGAAAGTTTTCAATTTTCAAAATCATCAAACAAAAGTTTTCAAAATTACTACAAGATTCAAAAATTGAAAAAGTTCCCAAGTATTATAAAATTTTGAAAATTTCCACGATTTTAAAAATTATCAAACATGAAAATCTTAAAAAATTGCAAATTTTCCAGAATATTTAAAATATGGAAAATTCATTAAATTTTGAAAATTCCCACAATTTCCGTTTCGAACTTTGCGTTCGAAAGTTTTCAATTTTCAAAATTATCAAACATCGAAATGTTCGAAAAGTGGAAAATTTACAAAAGATTAAATTTTTTGAATATCCCTTGAATTTTGAAAATTCCCACAATTTCCGTTCCAAACGTCAAGTCCGGAGGTTTTCAATTTTCAAAATCATCAAACATCGAAATTTCAAAAATTATCAGAAGATTCAAAAAATTTAAAATTTAAAAAAATTGGAAAACTAACAAACGATTGAATATTTTGAAAATTCACAAATTTTCAAAACTGAAAATTCCCACAATTTCCGTTTCGAACGTTAAGTTCGGAAGTTTTCAAAATCTTCAAACATCGAAATTTTCAAAAATTGGATTATTTCCAAAAGATTAAAAATCTTGAAAATTACTTGAATTTTTAAAATTCCTACAATTTCCGTTCTTAAGGTTAAGTTTGAAAGTTTTCAATTTTCAAAATCATTAAGCATCGAAATTTTCAAAATTATCAGAAGACTAGAAAAATTTTAAGTTTTCAAAACTTGGAAAATTTTCAAAAGATTGAATATTTGGAAAATTCCCAAGATTTTCAAAAGTTTTAACTAACGTAAAGTTCGAATGTTTTCAATTTTCAAAATCATCAAACATCAAAGTTTTCAAAATGAGAAAATTCAAAAATTTTAAAATTTCTAAAAGATAAAATTTTGGAAATTCCTAAAATTTTCAAAACTTGGAATATTTTCAAAAGATTGAATTTTTGGAAAATTCCCAAAATTTTCAGAAGTTTGAAAATCCACACTTTTTTCGAACGTTAAGATCGAAAGTTTTCAATTTTCAAGATCATCAAACATCAAAGTTTTCAAAATTAGAAAATTAGAAAAATTTTAATTTCTAAATGTAAAAATTTTGGAAATTCCCAAAATTTTCAAAACATTGAAAATTCCCACAATTTCCCTTTCGAACATAAGGTTCGGAAGTTGTCAATTTTCAAAATCATCAACATAAAGCTTTTAAAATTATTAGAAGATTCACTATGTATGTCTAAAAATAATTTTTGAATAGTAACATATCAAGGTTGATATGAGAACAGGTTTTTGATATATTTTCCAGTTTGCTCGTAAAAGTGCTTTCCATTTTCGTTGGAACACCTTGTTCAGAAAACTGAAGTCTTCAAAGTTCGATATGTCAGCAAAATAACAAGATTTTTCAGCAAATTTAACGGCATCCAGAAGGACAACGTTTATACTTTGAGATTTTGCCTATATGGTGTTATGGAAAAAAATATCCTCAAGTCGCTATTGTTGCATTTTTAGGTTGGGATATCTCGGACACTAGAACCAATTGAAACATTCGGAGCATTAAAAACCTGTGTTATTTATAACCACCTCGTAGGCCCCTATTTACGGTTAAAGTATCTCCTTCAAATGAAACACCCTGTATAATTCCTGACCTCGGTAACTGCATAGATAAAAATTCTCAAACTAATATATCTCCTTCTAAAAGGATTCAGCAATTTACTTGGATGCAATAGCTATAAATTGTTCTACACATCAACATTTCAATAATCAACAATCAAACCAATACACATCCGAGCAACTATGAATAATTCAAAAGAGAGGATGGAATAGTGGAAATAAAAAGACACCTTGAAAAGTTAACAGTAAATATATTTATGTCACTATAAAGATTATTTTACGCTTTGAAATAATTTCTGAGTATTTCCGAACAATTAAAAATTGGAGATTACGATATAAACTAGGTTTTTCATTCTGATCACAAATTACATTCAGTCAATTCACGTCTGCTAAAAATAAAAACGTTTTGTTGAATTGGCAGCATGGCATCTTAAAAATACTATTTTTTCTTGTCGTGCCTTACGAGTAATATAACAACTTAAAGCTTTTTAAAAATAATAAACTGTAGAGATTAATCTATTCTTTCAAAGCCAGCTCCCTGGGTACGGATGGATCTGGAAGCTTCTGGTAATTCGGTTCGATACCCCAGATGTCTTTGCCGTAATCGATTATAGTACGGTCACTGGAGAATTTTCCGGAAGACGCTATGTTGTGGATGGCCATCTCCACCCATTTTGCTTGGTTCTGGAAAAAGAAAGTTTTTCGAGATTTTATAAATCTGCAAACTTAAAACTTTTTATTTCTTCAAGTTTTCAATTTTCAAAATCATCAAACATGTAGATTTTTACAATTATTAGAAGATTCAAAAATTGAAAATTTTTAAAAATTGGAAAATTTTGAAAATTCCTCCACTATTTCCGTTCCGAACGTGAAGTTCAAAACTTTTCAATTTTCAATATCATCAAACATCGGAATTTTCAAAATTATAAGAAAATTCCAAATTTGAAAATTTTCAAAAATTGAAGTATTTCCAAAAGATTAAAAATTTTGAAAATCGCCAAAAAATTTTACAATCGAACGTGAAGTTCGGAAGTTTCTAATCTTCAAATTAATTAAACATCGAAATTTTCAAAATTATTAGAAGATTCAAAAATTGAAAATTTTTAAAAATTGGAAAATTTTGAAAATATCTCCACTATTTCCGTTCCGAACGTAAAGTTCAAAACTTTTCAATTTACAAAATCATCAAACATCGTAATTTTCAAAATTATCAGAAAATTCCAAATTTGAAAATTATCAAAAATTGAATTATTTCCAAAAGATCAAAAATTTTGAAAATCGCCAAAAAGTTTTACAATCGAACGTGAAGTTCTGAAGTTTTTAATCTTCAAATTAATTAAACATCGAAATTTTCAAAATTATAAGAAGATTCATAAAATTGAAAATTTTCAAAAATTGGAAAATATTGAAAATTTTGTAATTTCCTACAATTTCCGTCCGAACGTAAAGTTCGGAAGTTTTCAATTTCCAAAATCATCAAGCGACACTTTCAAAATTATCAGAAGAACAAAAAATCGAAAATTTTGTAAAATGGAAATGTTGAAAAATTGACCAGAATTTTCAAAATTTTGAAATATTCCGCAATTTCCGTCCGAACGTAAAGTTTGAACGTTTTCAAAATCATTAATCATCAAAATTTTCAAAATTATCAGAGAAGCCAAGAAATTGAAAATTTTTAAAAATTTACAAAAGATTATACAATTTTGAAAATACACAATATCATCAAAGTTTTCAAAAATTGGAAAATTTCCACAGAACTAAAAAATTTAGAATGTCACGTAAAGTTCTGAATTTCCAAAATCATCGAACATCAAAACTTACAAAATTATCGGAAGATTGGGAAATGTTAAAATTTTAAATAATTGAAAACTTTCCAAAGGATTGAAAATTGTGGAAATTCCAAAAAATTTCAATGTATTGAAAATTCCTACAATTTCTTTCCGAACGTAAGGTTCGAAAGTTTTCAAGTTTCAAAATCATCAAACATCAAAGTTTTCAAAATTATTAGAAAATTCAAAACTTTGAAAATTTTCAAAAACTGATTATTTCCAAGATTATAAAATTTTGAAAATTCCCAAAATTTTGAAAATACCCACAATGTCTGTTCCGAACGTAAGGTTCAGAAGTTTTCTATTTTCAAAATCATCAAACATCGAAATTTTCAAAAATTGGAATATTTCCAAAAGATTAAAAATCTTGAAACCTACTTAAATTTTGAAAATTCCTACAATTTCCGTTCTTGAGGTTAAGTTCGGAAGTTTTCAATTTTCAAAATCATCAAGCATTTTCAAAATTATCAAAAGACTAGAAAAATTTTAAATTTTCTAAAATTGGAAAATTTCCAAAAGATTGAATATTCTGAAAATTCCAAAAATTTTCAACAGTTTGAAAATCCCCACTTTTTTCGAACGTCAAGTTCGAAAGTTTTCAATTTTCAAAATTTTAAAATTTACCAGAAGATTCAAGATAATGAAAATTATTAAAATTTGTAAATTTTCCAAATCATTGAAAATTTTGAAAATTCGCAGAATTTCCGTTCCGAACGTAAAGTTTGGAAGTTTACCATTCTCAAAATCATCAAACATCAAAATTTTAAAATTATTATAAAATTGAAAAATTTGAAAATTTTCAAAAATTGATTAATTTCCAAGACTATAAAATTTTGAAAATTCCCAAAATTTTGAAAATACCCACAATGTCCGTTCCGAACGTAAGGTTGAGAAGTTTTCAATTTTCAAAATCATCAAACATCGAAATTTTCAAAAATTGAAAAATTCTTAAAAAATTTAAAATTTTGAAAATTCCCACAATTTCCATTCGGAAGTTTCCAATTTTCAAAATAATCAAACATTGAGATTTTAAAAATTACCAGAAGATTAAAAAAATTGAAAATTTCCAAAAATTGGAAAATTTACAAAAAAATTAAAAATTCTCAAAATTTTGAAAATCTCCACAATTTCCGTACCGAAAGTTTTCAATTTTCAAAGCTATCAAACATCAAGATTTTCAAAATTTGCAGAAGATAAAAAAATTGGAGATTTTAAAAAATTGGAAAATGTCCAAAAGATAAAAAAATTGAATCTTGTCAAAAAATGCAACACTTGTCTTGACCATGTATTTGGGGGGGGGGGGGGGGTCCGAAAAATTTTTGAACACCCTGTATACGAGGGCAACTCGTAAAATCTTTGATACTTTACCCCATATCTGAATTTAACGTCTTCGATTCATATAATCTTATTTCTTACCTCATACACGCTGTTAACCTCCTCCTGTTTCTTGATATACGCCTCGTAATCCGCGAACAAATAAAACCTGTCATACTTCAACAGTATATCAGCCAAATCCCTGAACTCATCCGGATTCCCCGGACTGAAGAACCCGTTCTGAATCTGATCCACGACCTGCTTCAACTCGGGATTCGCGTTGTAGTAGTCCATCGCGTTGTAGCCTTTCCTTTTCAAGTCTTCCACTTCGTCTACGGTCATGCCGAATATGAAAATGTTCTCGTCGCCCATCTCTTCGGCCATCTCGACATTGGCGCCATCTAGAGTGCCGATAGTCAGAGCGCCGTTCAGCATGAATTTCATGTTGCCCGTGCCCGAGGCTTCGGTGCCTACAAACAGAGGTCATATACAGGGGGTTGTCGAAACATAGGGCGAACGTTCAATGGGTCATTCTGAAGTTTTTGATTCTTCGGCGATTTTTGAAAAACAGCTAACGAAGACACCGCGTTACAGTTTTTTTATGGTCGAGTAAAAATTAATTATATCTTGATATAGCAAATTATTACAACTTTTTCCTTATTTAGAATAATAATTTTATAACAGTTCTTGAAAATATTGAACATAGCAAAACACTCCTATTTGTCTAATAATTCTATGGTAGAAAATCGTACTCTACTATCCATCTCCTTAACTTTTTGTCTTAGAATTACCCAAAGAATCGTCTGTTAAATTTATGGTACATACACTGTATACAGCGTGTTCCAGAATTTCTTGCCATTACAAACACGTTTTTTTTTAAATAGAATATCCTATATTTGGATAGAGCTTCTAAAAACAAGAAGTTTGATATCATATAAGATATGGTTAGATAGTCAATAGTTTAGATATTTAGTGAAATGTCTGACAAAACGCTCAACTTTGACGGCTCGTAGCTCGGCCATTTCTGAAAATATTTAGATAGATTTCAGTTCACAAAAATTGTATTATCATCGATTTAAGCTGATCCGAAAGAGATGCTAAAATAGCTTTCTATTTATACAGGTTATCTCGCAACGCAAAATGTACCTTTTCTCATTGCAAATGGAACACCCAGTATATGTAAAATAATTTTTGAATATGCACTAGTAACATATCAAGGTTGGATTAGAATCATCAACATCAGAGGATTCAAAAAATTGAAATTTACAAAAACTGGAAAATTTCCAAAAGATTAAAGATTTCGGAAATTCATCATCAACCATCAAACTTTTCAAAATTATCAGATTGAAAAATTTTAAGACTAAAAGAAACTGGATAATTTCCAATATATTATAAAATTTTGAAGGTTCCCAAAATTTTGAAAATTCCCACAATGTCCGTTACGAACGTAAAGTTCAGAAGTTTTTAATTTTCAAAATCCTCAAACATCGAGATATTCAAAAAACGGGAAGATTTCCAAAAAATTTTGAAAATCTCATAGATTTTGAAAATTCCTAGAATTTCCGTTCTAAAAGTAAAGTTCGGAAGTTTTCAATTTTCAAAATCATCAAACATCAAAACTTTCAACATCATCAGAAGACTAAAAAAAATTAAAATTTCCAAAAGATTAAATATTTTGAAAAATCCTAAAATTTTCTAAACTGAAAATTCCAAAAATTTCCGTTTCGAACGAAGAGTTCGGAAGTTTTCAGTTTTGAAAATCATCAAACATCAAACTTTTCAAAATTGTAGAAAAATTAAAAAATTTTAAAATATTCAAAAATTGGAAAAGTTTCAGAGGATTGAAAATTTTGAAAATCCCCACAATTTCCGGTTCTAACGTAAAGTTCGGAAGTTTTCATTTTTCAAAATCATCAAACATCAAAACGTCCAAAATCATCAGAAGACTAAAAAAAATTTAAAATTTCCAAAAGATTACATATTTTGAAAGTTCCTAAAATTTTCGAAACTGAAAATTCACAAAATTTCCGTTTCAAACGAAAAGTTGGGAAGTTCTCAATTTTCAAAATCATCAAACATCAAAGTTTCCAAAATTATTATAAGATTCATAAATTTCAAAACTTAAAAAATTTTATAATTTCCAATACATTAATAAAATTTTGAAGGTTCCCAAAATTTTTAAATTCACACAATGTCCGTTACGAACGTAAAGTTCGGAAGTTTTCAATCTTCGAAATCCTCAAAACATCGAAATTTTCAAAAATTGGAAGATTACCAAAAATTTTTGAAAATCATACTTAAATTTTGAAAATTCCCACAATTTCCGTTTCGAACGAAAAGTTGAGAAGCTTTCAACTTTCAAAATCATCAAAAATCAATCTTTTCAAAATTATTGAAAGATTCAACAATTTTAAAAAATTGGAAAATTTTCAAAAGATAAATTTTGAAAATTCCCACAATTTCCGTTCTAAACGTAAAGTTCAGAAGTTTTCAATTTTCAAAATTATCAAACATCAAAATTTCCAAAATCATCAGAAGACAAAAGAATGTAAAATGTCCAAAAGAAAAATTTGGAAAACTCCTAAAATTTTCGAAACTTTGAAAATTCCTATAATTTCCGTTCCGAACGAAAAGTTCGGAAGTTTTCTATTTTCAAAATCATCAAACATCAAACTTCTCAAAATCATTGAAAGATTCAAAAATTTTCAAAAATTGGAAAATTTTCAAAAGATAAATTTTGAAAATTCCCACAATTTCCGTTCTAAACGTAAAGTTCAGAAGTTTTCCATTTTCAAAATTATTGATCATCAAAATTTCCAAAATCATCAGGAGACAAAAGAATGTAAAATGTCCAAAAGAAAAATTTGGAAAACTCCTAAAATTTTCGAAACTTTGAAAATTCCCATAATTTCCGTTCCGAACGAAAAGTTCAGAAGTTTTCTATTTTCAAAATCATCAAACATCAAACTTCTCAAAATTATTGAAAGATTCAAAAATTTTCAAAAATTGGAAAATTTTCAAAAGATAAATTTTGAAAATTCCCACAATTTCCGTTCTAAACGTAAAGTTCAGAAGTTTTCAATTTTCAAAATTATCAAACATCAAAATTTCCAAAATCATCAGAAAACAAAAGAATGTAAAATGTCCAAAAGAAAAATTTGGAAAACTCCTAAAATTTTCGAAACTTTGAAAATTCTCATAATTTCCGTTCCGAACGAAAAGTTCAGAAGTTTTCTATTTTCAAAATCATCAAACATCAAACTTCTCAAAATTATTGACAGATTCAAAAATTTTAAAAAATTGGAAAATTTTCAAATGATGAAATTTTCAAAGGATGAAATTTTGAAGATTCCCAAAATTTTGAAAATTTCTACGACGTCCGTTTCAAACGGAAAGTTTGGAAATTTTCAATTTTAAAAAATCATCAAACATCAAAGTTTTCAAAATTATAAAATTTTTAAAGCTTTAAAAAAGTTGGATAATTTCCAATACATTATAAAATTTTGAAAGTTCCCAAGATTTTTCCGATTCCCACAATGCCCGTTACGAACGTAAAGTTCGGAAGTTGACAACTTCTTCAAAATCCTCAAACATCGAAATTTTCAAAAATTGGAAGATTTCCAAAAAAATTTGAAAATTCCCTAAATTTTGAAAATTCTCACAATTTCCGTTCTAAACGTGAAGTTCGGAAGTTTTCAATTTTCAAAATCACCTAACATCGAAATGTTCAAAATTATCAAAACAACATTGTGTATTTATGAAATTCACGAAAAAACATTTTTTTAAATTTTAACACCCTGTATCTTGAGAACGAAGACTTTGTGTACCTACGTGTATATAAATTTTTTGTTTTGAAATCACTCAAAGGATCGTCTGTTAAATTTATCGTATATACCCAGTTGCGCTTTTAAAAATTGTAATCGATATATTCCGTTTTCCAAAGACAAATACGAGTCGAGTATCTCTAAACGATTTTTTGGACACTAACCGGCAGTAGAAATCTGCTCGCTCAAATCAGCAGCCGGTATGATCTTCTCCGCCAAAGTCACCCTGTAATTCTCCAAGTAGATAACCTTCAACTTTTCCCCGACAATAGGATCATTATTGACCACGTTCGCGACCATGTTGATCAACTTGATGATCTTCTTAGCCACGTAGTAACCAGGTGCCGCTTTGCCACCGATCATGATCGTCCTGGCGGTGAATTTCGCGGAGGGGTTTTTCTTGATCCTGTTGTACAGGGTGATGATGTGCAGGCAGTTCAACAGTTGGCGTTTGTACTCGTGGATGCGCTTCACGTGGATGTCGAACATCGAGGAGGGGTTGATCTTAACGCCGTAGTCTTTTTCTAGCAGTTGCGCGAGACGAAGTTTGTTTTCCTGGAATTGGAGAGGTTCGTTATTGTTTTTTGTAGGAAGGGTAATCATGCCAAGATCGCAGCATCTAAGGCTCTTCGGGAGTTGTCTGGGGTTAAATCATCAATGCACCTCAATTATTACTAAAAATTTGAAAATTCTGAAAATTCTGAAAAATTTGAAAAATTCTGAAAAATCTTAAAATTCAGAAAAATCTGAAAATTCCGAAAATCCTGAAAATTCTGAATAATCTGAAAGTTCTGAAAAATCTGAATAATCTGAAAATTCTGAAAAATCTTAAAATTCAGAAAATGCTGAAAATTCCGAAAATTCTGAATATTCTGAAAAATCTGAAAAATTCTGAAAAATCTTAAAATTCAGAAAAATTTGAAAATCCTGAAATTCTAAAAAATCTGAAAATACTGAAAATTCTGAAGATTCTGAAAATTCTGAAAAATCCTGAAAATTCTGAAAAATCTTAAAATTCAGAAAATTCTGAAAATCCTGAAAATTCTGACTAATCTGAAAATTCTGAAAAATCTTGAATTTCAGAAAATGCTGAAAACTCCGAAAATTCTGAAAATTCTGAAAAATTTGAAAAATTCTGAAAAATCTTAAAATTCAGAAAAATCTGAAAATTCTGAAAATTCCGAAAATCCTGAATAATCTGAAAATTCTGAAAAATCTGAAAATTCTGAATAATCTGAAAATTCTGAAAAATCTTAAAAATCAGAAAATGCTGAAAATTCCGAAAATTCTGAATAATCTGAAAAATCTTAAAATTCAGAAAAATCTGAAAATTCTGAAAATCCTGAAAATTCTGAAATTCTGAAAAATCTGAAGATTCTGAAAATTCTGAAAAATCTGAAAAATTCTGAAAATTCTGAAAAATCTGAAAAATTCTGAAAAATCTTAAAATTCAGAAAAATCTGAAAATTCTGAAAACCCTGAAAATTCTGAAAAATCTGAAAATTCTGAAAAATCTGAAAATTCTGAAAAATCTTGAAATTCAGAAAATTCCCAAAATTCTGAAAATTCTGAAAATTTTGAAAATTCTGAAAATTCTGAATATTCTGAGAAATCTGAAAAATTTGAAAATTCTGAAAATTCTGAGAATTCTCAAACTTAATACATATTTGTGGAACTTATAGGTTCGAAAAAAATAATTTTAATTTTTTTTTTTTGAATTTTTTTTTAGATAATGAATATTTCGCAAACTTAAAAATGTGTATCAGTGCGTTATTCAGATTCATCAATAAGATCGTGAATTTATTAGGTGACTTTACGCATATGCATGAATTGAGTTTTATAGTTAACGAATTAATAAAATCGTGCTCTAAAAATCTCTAAAACCTGTTTTCCGATTTTTGGCGATTTTTCGGTAAGAAATTCATGATATTGTTACCAAATCTGAAAAGAACACAAGACGTTTGGAACCATATTTTTGAAACTACCCTCGTATTAATGACATAATATTTCTTTATTCAACGATTCATCAAGCGATCGCCTGGTATGCGTCATAACAAAACTTATTGAAGAGGGTGTAACAACCTACCGTAGTTTTCCATCTCACCAAGGGTATTCTTAAATTATTTTACGAATTTTTAACTTAGTCTACGCGAAGACAGCCAATGACCCAGACCATCTATGAGATAGTAGCTGAACACAAAAATAAACTTCGCTTCACTAGAAGATACCCAATTGAAAAAGGTGTTAGAGATGCGACAAAAAAGGGAACGTCATTGACTAAAAAATGACGTCGTTATTGACGCCATTTCTAGGACGACGACAAGACCTCATTTAAAAGGCTGTCATTTTGACGTCTTATTAGGACAGTCAGAACAAGAAAATCAACACTTACCTTCAAGGAAAATACAGGTTTTTAATGAACAGTAAGGTAAACTAGATATCCTAATCCTTCAAATCGGTAATTATAATAATTTCTTTCAAACTTACCTGTTTGACTTTTTGGACGGCTCTTTGGAAATTGGGATCCTTGGCCCATTGTTTCAGTTTGGTCAACTGATCCAGATGGACGGTCCACTCGTCTCCAATTTTCTCGGTGATCAGGTCGCTAAGGCTGGGGTTACACAGCACCAACCATCTTCTAGGAGTGATGCCGTTTGTTTTGTTTTGGAATTTTTCAGGGTTCATCTCGTAGAAGTCTTTGAACCTGAAAAATAATTGATCATTCGACTGAAATGTCGACAGTAGCCATCTACGAGAATGTTTTATACGACAGTGAATTTGTCTTGCGATAGTGGCGCCATCGGGGGTGAGGCTAAATACTTATCAATGTCAGTATGGCTGCGTATAGCCCGATGTTGCCATTCTTTTTAAGAGGCCTATTAAGACTTTTTGACATTATTCGAGCAAAGAGAATAAGAATAAGATTCTCACAGAGCGCCAGATCCACTGGAGCAATATAAATAGTTAAGAAAGAAGCATGTTCGCAGTTCACCTGATGTCGATTGAAGATCACATCAATAAAAAAAAATATTATAGACAATTGAAGGAATGCTTGCCACAGATCGTATATTAGGTTTGTGAGATTCAGCTACTACATTATCTAATAAAATAAATATTTTGTGACAATGAAAACAAAAAGAAGTTTATCAAGAAGATGCATTTGAAGGAGACGCTAGACAAATGTAAAGGGATCATTGAAAATAAAAATAGATAGCAGCAGAGCAGCTCGGTGCAACTGGTTGTCTATATTCAGTTTTTTATTTCTCTGTGATTGCGCTGTAATTCGAGGAAAAAAACACATTATCAATTTCTTCATCAAAATGCTGAATAGATACGACCAGCAAAGAAAATTCTTTCTGACATCGATGACAGCTTGTGGTCAAATACTTCCTTGAACTTCCACTGCCTCCAAGAAGAGATCCAATGTTCCTAAGGAAACCTCTAGCCTCAAAAAAGGTTTATAAATCTGCCTACTAGTCTCTAGGACCCTCCTAGACTCATTTCAAACACTGAAAAAAATCCTACTCACACATCTTTCTTGATGATCTCCGAATGAATGGCAGCCACCCCGTTAACGGCGTGCGAGCCGACGATGGACAAATGCGCCATATTGATCCTCTTTTCTCCATCCTCCTCAACGCAAGACATCCTCCTCATTCGATCCATGTCGCCGGGCCACCTCTTTTGCACGTCCTGTAGATGCAGGAAGTTGATGTGGTAGATGATCTCTAGATGGCGCGGCAGTAGCCGTTCGAACATGGAGACGGGCCAACGTTCCAGGGCTTCGGGGAGGACGGTGTGATTCGTGTACGCGCAGCATCTGACGGTTACGTCCCAGGCGTTTTCCCAGGACAGGCCTGGAAAGTTTGAAAAAAGAAAGAACATGATTCAGCTGAGAAGCACTCCAGTTTCGGGCTTTTTCGAGAACGATGACTAAAATGTTTTAAAAGAAACTGTTCATTTGATTCAGCGGGGAAGCAGTCTTGTAAATGCTTGGAGCACTAAAGCAGATCAAAGTTCCAAGGCTCCGGGTAAAACAGTGCCGTTAGAGCGCGTGTCTCAGGCTTCTTCCAAAAAGGGGTTTCAATGTCAAAAAACTTTTAATCCTGATTCAGGTGGGAAGCAGTTTATCCAATCAATGGGGCATTGACACAGAGCAACGTTCTAAGGTTTCGGGTAAGATAGCCTAGTTGGCATACGTGAAACATGTGGTGATTGTTTCAGGCTTTTTCCAGAACGATGACTAAAATGTTTTAAAAGGAACTCTTCACTGTATTCAGCGGGGAAGCAGTCTTGTAAATGCTTGGAGCACTAAAGCAGATCAAAGTTCCAAGGCTCCGGGTAAAACAGTGCCGTTAGAGCGCATGTCTCAGGCTTGTTCCAAAAGGAGGTTTCAATGTTAAAAAAACTTCCATCCTGATTCAGTTTAGCCAATTAATGGGGCATTGAGACAGAGCAACGTTCCAAGGTTTCGGGTAAGATAGCCTAGTTGGCATACGTGAAACATTTGGTGATTGTTTCAGGCTTTTTCCAGAACGATGACTAAAATGGTTTAAAAGGACCTGTTCACTTGATTCAGCGGAGAAGCAGTTTTATAAATGCTTGTAGCACTTAAGCTGATCAAAGTTCCAAGGCTCCGGGTAAAACATTGCCGTTAGAGCGCATGTCTCAGGCTTGTTCCAAAAGGAGGTTTCAATGTTAAAAAAACTTCCATTCTGATTCAATTTAGCCAATTAATGGGGCATTGAGACAGAGCAACGTTCCAAGGTTTCGGGTAAGATAGCCTAGTTGGCATACGTGAAACATGAGGTGATTGTTTCAGGCTTTTTCCAGAACGATGACTAAAATGTTTTAAAAGGAACTGTTCATTTGATTCAGCGGGGAAGCAGTCTTGTAAATGCTTGGAGCACTAAAGCAGATCAAAGTTCCAAGGCTCCGGGTAAAACAGTGCCGTTAGAGCGCGTGTATCAGGCTTCTTCCATAAAGAGGTTTCAATGTCAAAAAACTATTAATCCTGATTCAGGTGGGAAGCAGTTTAGCCAATTAATGGGGAATTGAGACAGAGCAACGTTCCAAGGTTTCGGGTAAGATAGCCTAGTTGGCATACGTGAAACATGAGGTGATTGTTTCAGGCTTTTTCCAGAACGATGACTAAAATGTTTTAAAAGGAACTGTTCATTTGATTCAGCGGGGAAGCAGTCTTGTAAATGCTTGGAGCACTAAAGCAGATCAAAGTTCCAAGGCTCCGGGTAAAACAGTGCCGTTAGAGCGCGTGTCTCAGGCTTCTTCCAAAAGGAGGTTTCAATGTTAAAAAACTTTTAATCCTGATTCAGGTGGGAAGCAGTTTAGCCAATTAATGGGGCATTGAGACAGAGCAACGTTCCAAGGTTTCGGGTAAAATAGCCTAGATGGTATACGTGAAACATGAGGTGATTGTTTCAGGGTTTTTCCAGAACGATGACTAAAATGTCTTAAAAGGAACTATTCATTTGATTCAGCGGGGAAGAAGTTTTGTAAATGCTTGGAACACTAAAGCACATCAAAGTTCCAAGGCTCCGGGTAAAACAGTGCCGTCACAGCGCATGTCTCAGGCTGCTTCCAACAGGAGATTCCAATGTTAAAAAAACTTTTAATCCTGATTCAAGTGGGAAGCAGTTTAGCCAATTAATGGGGCATTGAGACAAAGCAACGTTCTAAAGTTTCGGGTAAGATAGCCTAGTTGGCATACGTGAAACATTTCCTGATTGTTTCAGGCTTTTTTCCAGAACGATAACTAAAATGTTTTAAAAGGAACTGTTCATTTGATTTAGCGGAGAAGCAGTCTTGTAAATACTTGGAGCACTTAAGCAGATCAAAGTTCCAAGGCTCCGGGTAAAACAGTACCGTAAGAGCGCATGGCTCAGGTTTCTTCCAGAAGGAGTTTTCAATGTTAAAAAAACTTTTAATCCTGATTCAAGTGGGAAGCAGTTTAGCCAATTAATGGGGCATTGAGACAGAGCAACGTTCCAAAGTTTCGGGTAAAATAGCCTAGTTGGCATACGTGAAACATGAGGTGATTGTTTCAGGCTTTTTCCAGAACGATGACTAAAATGTTTTAAAAGGAACTGTTCATCTGATTCAACGGGGAAGAAGTCTTGTAAATGCTTGGAGCACTTAAGTAGATCAAAGATCCAAGGCTCCGGGTAAAACAGTGCCGTAAGAGCGCATGTCTCAGGTTTCTTCCAAAAGGAGTTTTCAATGTTAAAAAAACTTTTAATCCTGATTCAGGTGCGAAGCTGTTTAGCCAATCAATGGGGCATTGAGACAGAGCAACGTTCCAAGGTTTCGGGTAAAATAGCCTAGTTGGCATACGTGAAACATTTCCTGATTGTTTCAGGCTTTTTTCCAGAACGATAACTAAAATGATTTAAAAGGAACTGTTCATTTGATTCAGCGGGGAAGAAGTCTTGTAAATGCTTGGAGCACTTAAGCAGATCAAAGTTCCAAGGCTCCGGGTAAAACAGTGCCGTTAGAGCGCATGTCTCAGGTTTCTTCCAAAAGCAGTTTTCAATGTTAAAAAAACTTTTTAATCCTGATTCAGGTGCGAAGCAGTTTAGCCAATCAATGGGGCATTGAGACAGAGCAACGTACCAAGGTTTCGGGTAAGATAGCCTAGTTGGCATACGTGAAACATTTGGTGATTGTTTCAGGTTTTTTCCAGAACGATGACTAAAATGTTTTAAAAGGAACTGTTCATTTGATTCAGCGGGGAAGAAGTCTTGTAAAAGCTTGGAGCACTAAAGCAGATCAAAGTTCCAAGGCTCCGGGTAAAACAGTGCCGTTAGAGAGCATGTCTCAGGTTTCTTCCAAAAGCAGTTTTTAATGTTAAAAAAACTTTTAATCCTGATTCAGATGGGAAGCAGTTTAGCCAATCAATGGGGCATTGAGACAGAGCAATGTTCCAAGGTTTCGGGTAAGATAGCCTAGTTGGCATACGTGAAACATGAGGTGATTGTTTCAGGTTTTTTAGAGAACGATGACTAAAATGTTTTAAAAGGAACTGTGCATTTGATTCAGCAGGGAAGCAGTCTTGTAAATGCTTGGAGCACTACAGCAGATCAAAGTTCCAAGGCTCCGGGTAAAACAGTGCCGTAAAAGCGCATGTCTCAGACTTGTTCCAAAAGGAGGTTTCAATGTTAAAAAAACTTCCATCCTGATTCAGTTTAGCCAATTAATGGGGCATTGAGACAGAGCAACGTTCCAAGGTTTCGGGTAAGATAGCCTAGTTGGCATACGTGAAACATTTGGTGATTGTTTCAGGCTTTTTGCAGAACGATGACTAAAATGTTTTAAAAGGAACTGTTCATTTGATTTAGCGGGGAAGCAGTCTTGTAAATGCTTGGAGCACTAAAGCAGATCAAAGTTCCAAGGCTCCGGGTAAAACAGTGCCGTTAGAGCGCATCTCTCAGGCTTCTTCCAAAAAAAAGGTTTCAATATCAAAAAAATTTTAATCCTGATTCAGGTGGGAAGCAGTTTAGCCAATTAATGGGGCATTGAGACAGAGCAACGTTCCAAGGTTTCGGGTAAGATAGGTTAGTTGGCATACGTGAAACATTTGGTGATTGTTTCAGGCTTTTTCCAGAACGATGACTAAAATGGTTTAAAAGGAACTTTTCATTTGATTCGGCGGGGAAGCAGTCTTGTAAATGCTTGGAGCACTTAAGCAGATCAAAGTTCCAAAGCTCCGGGTAAAACAGTGCCGTTAGAGCGCATGTCTCAGGCTTGTTCCAAAAGGAGGTTTCAATGTTAAAAAAACTTTTAATCCTGATTCAGTTTAGCCAATTAATGGGGCATTGAGACAGAGCAACGTTCCAAGGTTTCGGGTAAGATAGCCTAGTTGGCATACGTGGAACATTTGGTGATTGTTTCAGGCTTTTTTCCAGAACGATGACTAAAATGTTTTAAAAGGAACTGTTCATTTGATTCAACGGGGAAGCAGTCTTGTAAATGCTTGGAGCACTTAAGCAGATCAAAGTTCCAAAGCTTCGGGTAAAACAGTGCCGTTAGAGCGCATGTCTCAGGCTTCTTCCAAAAGTAGGTTTCAATGTTAAAAAAACTTGTAATCCTGATTCAGGTGGGAAGCAGTCTAGCCAATTAATGGGATTTGAGACAGAGCAACGTTTCAAGGTTTCGGGTAAGATAGCCTAGTTGGCATACGTGAAACATGAGGTGATTGTATCAGGCTTTTTCCAGAACGATGACTAGAATGTTTTAAAAGGAACTGTTCATTTGATTCAGCAGGGAAGCAGTCTTGTAAAAGCTTGGAACACTAAAGCAGATCAAAGTTCCAAGGCTCCGGGTAAAACAGTGCCGTTAGAGCGCATGTCTCAGGCTTCTTCCAAAAGGAGGTTTCAATGTTAAACGAACTTTTAATCCTGATTAAGGTGAGAAGCAGTTTAGCCAATTAATGGGGCATTGAGACAGAGCAACGTTCCAAGGTTTCGGGTAAGATAGCCTCGTTGGCATACGTGAAACATTTGTTGTTAAGTTCCAGGTTTGTTTGCTAAAAGGAGGTCTAGGATGTTTAAAAAAGAACCAGTAATCCTAAATGAGCTGAGAAGTACTAGAGTAAATTGAGTGAAAATTGAGACAGGCGAAAGTTCTAAGGTTTCGGGTAAGACAGTGTTATTGACGTAAGCAAATCATTTGATGATTACGTTGCATTAAGGTCCAGAGTGTTGGAAAAAGAGCAGTTGAACCTAATCCACCTAGAAAGCACTCTAGTTCGTCCTAAGGCTTTGGGTAAGGAAGTGTAGAAAAAGTCAATATTTCGAGAGCGTTACAGTTCTTCAATTCAATCTTCAAATGTTCTTGCTCACCTTCAATGTCAACCAGCACCCTCATCAGCTCAGGAATAGCCAATGACGGATGAGTATCGTTCAGCTGTATGGCCACCTTATTAGGCATCAAGTCAAAGTTGGTCCTGGTCGGTTCCCTGGTTCCAAAGTTTGCCGCCTTGTATCGCCTGATGATATCTTGGAGAGTAGCAGCGCACAGGAAGTACTCTTGTTTCAATCGCAACTCTTTGCCCTCGAAGACATTGTCGTTGGGATAGAGAACCCTGGAGATGTTCTCGGCGAGGTTTCTGTCGAGGACCGCTTGGATGTAATCACCGTCGTTGACTGGAAACAAAATTTGAAAAATGGTACATTATATGTCTAGGTTGAAAAGTGAGCCAACTATGGTCTTCTCTACACAGGTTTAAATGTGTTTTAAAAGGAACAATTTAACGCTATATGTGTACATCAAATAATGACTGTGAAATGAGCATTTTTAAGCAAAATATTTGTGAATATATTATGTTATAAAAATGTTTTAGCATCATGGTATAAATAATGCATTGGAACTTTTAAAAACAAATATCTCGAAAGCTATCAGCTTTAGACACTTTTAACAAGTAAACCTTTTTTGTTGTGGAAATACAACAAAATAAGATTTTTCAGTCAGTTGTTGTATACAGAGTAGCACAAAAAAGTTATGATAAGTTATTTACCGAAATAGTGCTGAAAGTGGCGTCCTCTAAATTTTTGGTCATAAAAAATAACCGATTCTTGTTTCTCATACTAGGAAACCTCCCTATACCGAGTTTTATATCAAAATCTGAAATAATTCTCAAGCAATAAGGAAAAATAAAAAATAAAATTGTAGCTTTTGGACTAAGGTATGTTTAGGTCAATTCACATATTTTGGTCTGTAGTATCCTGTTTCGAGATTTCCCAACCTTTGGCAGACAAAGTTTACTTGTCAAACTGACAAGTCAACAAAACGACCTTCATTATTTATCTAGGCATTTTTATTAGGGGAAAAAGAGGTAATTCTCATAAACAAACTTACAGAACTTCAAGTTGAAATCCATCGGCGACTTGGCGGACCACAACCTGAGCGTATTGACGACATTATTGTTGTAACCGGGAATCGGGTTGTCGTACGGTAAGGCGAAAACCACTTGCGTATCCACCCATTTCTTTCCTTCTGCCGTGTCGATGACGCGGCCGTAGAAATTGACCGGTAACATGTATTCAGGTCTCGCCTTCTCCCAGGGATTGCCGAATCGGAGCCAGTCGTCGGGTTCTTCTTGTTGCTCGCCGTTTATGATTTTCTGCGCGAAGATGCCGTATTCGTAACGGATCCCGTAACCGTAGGCCGCCATTCCTGGTAAGATAAGAAAAAGTAACTGAATGTAATTGGGTTGTCCGATAGGGACGTAGGAAAGTAAACGTCAATTTGACATAGACGCCATCTTTGTTTTGTTTAGTTGAATGTTTACCATTGATCGCTATGGAGTCGTATTCGATTGAAGACCGCATTAAAGTTATTCAAGAGCACTACAAAAATGGTGCAAAAATAAAAAACACGTTCCGCGCGCTTCGTGAACATTTCGGTCGCAACAACCGCCCAAACGAAACAACCATCGGTCGTCTGGTGCGTAAATTCGAGGCAACAGGTTCTGTGGCAAATCTGCCAGGCTCTGGCCGGCCAAGGAGCGTTCGCACACCGGAAAATATTGCTGTTGTGAAGGAGAGTGTGAGAGACGATCCGAAACAATTCTGAGCGATATCACGTGATGATAGAGGACTATTTTTTTGCCGCAACTTGAAGGAATGGATATGGACGATGTTTATTTCCAACAAGACGGTGCAACATGCCACACAACCAACGTCAATATCCATCGATTGCAGTCCTTCTTCGGTGATCGCGTGATTTCGCGCAGATCGTGCGATTTGACTCCCTTGGACTTCTTTTTATGGGGATATTTGAAAAGCAAAGTCTACGTCAACAAGCCACCCTCCAAGAATTCAAAAACAACATCATTGTGGAGATAAATGCCATAGAACCGACCATGTTGCAAAAAGTCATTGAAAATTTTGACCATCGCGTGGACGTCTGTAAATCCAATCGTGGTGAACATTTGAGCGATATTATTTTTCATACATAAATGGTATAAATGAACCTTCAAAATAAAGTACCCAACTTGATTTGAACATCAATCTTTCTTGTTTTAATATGCGTTTTGGACAACCCCATACAACCAGGAGAAAATATTTAGAGCATTTATTTGTAAATTCATGTACCGGGTGACCCAACAATCAAGGACCATGGCTTTATTTTATATCATTCATAAAATAAAATCAAATTCTAGTTTTTCAGATTTAATAACTTTACATGAAAAGATTTATCGAAAACCGCTGATTAAAAGAAAAAACGCCGAGATACGTCAAAAGACTTCTCAAGGGGGACATTTTTTTAACCAAAAACTACTTCACCCCTTTTCACCCTAGGCCCCCTAGGGTCATTCCCGTAAAAAATTTAAATGACAAAAGATGCAACAGCTTGTTTGAAAGGTCTTTCGAGGTCCTTTATTTTGACGTATGATTTTTTTTAAATACGTCGATTTGTTTACGAGAAAATTAGAAAAATATTTATCTTAATTTGATCGGATAGAAAACAAAAACACACGAAAATATAACTTCTTATTTCAATAAGTGTTCAAAATGTTGCCCGTTCTGGTTTGCCGTATCTACAATTTGTTTATAATTTAAAACAGAAACTACCAACATATTCGGAAGATTAGACTTGGCAACAACCAAACAACAACCCGAATTTTTTTCCGCATTCTTTTCACCAACAATGACATCACAGAAAATCTTCATGCTATTGTAGAATTGCATACCCAGTACCCCCAAAAAATTAATGAATGTGCAGGCGTTTTAGGAAACAAAGTGATTGGGCCATTGTTTATTAATGGAAATTTGAGTGGAGACATTTATTTGGATATGTTGGAAAATACCACCAATCCAAATCCGCCAGCTAAGTGTTCTGATCCTACTAACTATGGTCAATTGAGACCGATCAGTCTACTGCCTGTTTTCTAAAATATTGAAACGCGTTGTTTACGAGCAGCTCTAACAAAATTATTCCATCTAAACAATCTGGATTTCGACAAGGTCCTAATACAGCTTCGGCACTCTGTGATTTAACAGACAATATAACAATGGCACTTGATAACCAAAAAGCAGTAGCTCTCATACTTCTTGACTTTACTAAAGCATTTGACACCATTAATCACTCACTTCTTGTGTCTAAATGCAGTTATTATGGATTTTCTGAAAAACCTCTTTCGTTTATTCTAACCTACCTTGAAAATCGGTATCAAAAAGTTATATTAAAAATTATATATATATATTATAAAATATTTAAAAAAACGACATAGACATACATTTAAAAAGTAATAAATTAGTTTCTGTGGATCATTCGAAGAATCTAGGTATTATAATGTTTGATGACTTAAAATTTGTTGTACACGTAAACTAAATTCTCAGTGCTACGCTATTCTCAGATTTTTATTTGCAAATAAGGCTATATTCTATAAATCTGCGATAAAGCATAAAGTGAATCTTTCTTGTTGTCAAAGATATCGTATTGCTTAGTGGTTTGCTATCCCTATTTAGATATTATAACAAGAAATCGTATTCAAAGTATTATATATATTATGTATACAGGGTGTCCGCAAAGTTGGGGTTTTCCTTTACACGACGCGACGTGTAGATCTTGAAAACATAAGCATTTTTTCTTAGTACCATATACACCAATGTCTTAAGGGAACCGAGATAAAGGGCTCTGCAACATCAAAAATATCTGAATACCGTCCTGTAGCCGCCCTCAACCTGACGATAGAACTGGGTCGGGGTCAGTGTGTCAGGTCAGTATGCAACCTTCAACCGACGGTTACGGTCACGCGTGTAGAGGTAATCGCGTAGACGAGAATCCCTCAACAAGCACTAGAGACGTGGCTAGAGAAGTGCAAGTATCAAAAACTAAAGTGTGGCAAACGCTGCGTGAAGAGGGGCTGTATCCGTTTCACGTCCAACGTGTACAAGCCCTTCAACCTGACGATTTTCCAGCAAGAGTGCGGTTTTGTGAGTGGTTGTTGCATCAACATGACAATAATCCGGACTTTTTGAAGTGCATATTGGTGACAGACGAATTTACGTTCACGCGTAATGGGGTGAATAACTTTCGCAACACTCATGTTTGGTCAGTAGAAAATCCGCACGCTGTCCGTCGGGCACATTTTCAACAAACATTTTCGGTGAATGTTTGGGCTGGCATGGTGAACGGTATGCTCATTGGACCATTTATTCTCCCAAATCGATTGGACGGGATGCAATACCTAGATTTTTTACGCAACATTTTGCCTTCCTTGTTTGCCTGCGTCTGCTCGGTAGCGCATCAGCTGATTTCATTTTCTGTTGGAGCGGTATGATTTCGGGCAGAGACGTACTTCCCTTCTCGTCAACTGGAGAGTGAGTACTTTTTCCTTTATTTTTTTTTTACTTGGTCGCCCTCGTTTCACTACACATCACCTTTGTTATTTCAAGGGTAGTTGTTTCTGAAAAGGAAAACCGCAACTTTGCGGACACCCTGTATATCAAAAACAATAAAGTCATTTAAAACTACCAACCGTGTTGTTTTATTTCCATATGCAAAACTTAAAAGACATCCCTCGTATACAGAAATAACCTTATTTTCATTAGGTAATACGGTGAAATTATAAAAAGGTAGTAATCATTTGAAAAAAATAGCGTCCAGTAAGTTCTCAAATGGATACGATTTACTCCATCTCAGAAAAAAGTTGACTACGAATTTGTACTAGTAGTAGTAGAGATAATAGTAGTAAGCATTTGTTTAATATTATATATATATATATAGGTGAAAAATTAAAGCTTCCGCCTTTTGTTGGGTACTTCGACAAAATTTAAGCAAAGAGGACTCTTTATACTTTTTTTTAATTCTCTCTAGCTTTCAATGGACTTTGCCATCATCATCAGGAGAGTAGTATGTGAGGATGTTGCTAATTGTTGTTTACGTATAGGATGAGGGAAACGTCCAGTAACATGGTGAGAATCATTCCATGACCACTAATTTGTGCAATCATCAAGTGGCTTCACGATGTAATGCTCTAATTTTTTAAATAATTTTTAATCTGTTTTTAACTTGTTCTTGTCATATTTTATATAAGTTTGACAACTGTACAATCTATCCAGCTCTCACCATGTTACTGGACGTTTCCCTCATCCTATACGTAAACAACAATTAGCAACATCCTCACATACTACTCTCCTGATGATGATGGCAAAGTCCATTGAAAGCTAGAGAGAATTAAAAAAAGTATAAAGAGTCCTCTTTGCTTAAATTTTGTCGAAGTACCCAACAAAAGGCGGAAGCTTTAATTTTTCACCTAACTGGTCTAGACGACAATGACCACGTCTCAAGTTATATATATATATATACCCTTGACTTGCTTTGGGTAGAAGGCAAATTATTGCATAAGCACACTCTTATAACTTAAACTCGAGCTTTCGAAAGCCTATGCCCTCATCGTCTGGAGCTATAAACAATTTTTGAAAAATAGCAACAATAAACAATTAGTAGGAAGAAATATATAATTACTTACTAAGTCGGCGAGACTGTTGCTGAAATTGTTCTTAAACGAAAGTGACACATATTTGACGAATTTTGCTATTCTTCAAAAATTGTTTACAGCTCCAGATGATGAGGGCATAGACCTTCGAAAGCTGGAGTTTAAGTTATAAGAGTGTACTTATGCAATACTTAGCCTTCTACAAAAAGAAATTCAACAATATTTTCTCCTAACAGTTAAGGCAATTAACTATATATACAGGGTGACTTTGAATTTGAGTCATTAATTTTCAGATAATGATTGTAGAAGGAAGATAAACCAAAATATGTGTGTAAAAATAAAAAAAAAAATTACCTTGTTTTATAAAGTATCCTCCCGACAAGTATTTCAGTGCGGACCTGTATTTGATCGTGCGGTCTTGGAGCACCGGCAGGCCCTCCCCTGTAAGGTCTTAAGTCTCCTGATTTACGAGCCCTTTGTACTATATTAACAAAGGCACGAGGGGTTGGTTGCACTCGATTGGGAAACCGATTCGCATAAATCCGTGATGTATCCGGGAGCATTTTGTAAAGACTGCCCCCCCCGTAAATAAGAATCATGTCCACAAGTTCAGCATTTTCGTAAACATGTGCCATTTTTGATTTCGTTTGAGCCACCCAACAAACACCACTATTCACTCACGCGTTACCGACTGACGAAAAACATCGTGATAAACGTTTCAAATTCTTTCGCTTTTTTGTTTCCGATGCGATGAACCGATAACGCGGATTATATCCGTTGTTGCCAAACACAAGCACATAATATTATTATTGAGACAGGGCGGTACTCAAACTTCCAAAGGGCTATAACTTTGTTACTTTAATTTTACCAGAAAAATGTTAAAGGAAAAAAAGATTTATTTTGATCAGATCTACTCACTATTAAAATAAATGACTCAACTTCGAGTCACCCTGTATATATATATATATATCGAATGCCACTAATGAACTCAAATGGCCGAAAATTGATAAAATGTATAAGTACCAGCTCCTAAATCTGACTCATTATTCAAAAACACCGTCATATTTAGTAAACAAATTCATACGTAGAGGGAATATGCATGTTATTAATAGCACATCTCTATTTCAGAATACTTATATTTACAATGCGATCAAATCATATAATTCTTTAGACCACAGTTTAAAAGAAACGAATCCATTACCCAAATTCTCAGTAGCGAAATCTGTTATAACCCATAAGTGTCCTCATATTTTCCTTATGCCTTTACTTAGATTATACTTTATTGTCGTTATTGTATACAGGTATTAATTTTCAACAAATTCTGTTTTTTTTCACATCTCGTATTGTTAAGGGGGTTAGATGGTAGAATAGATATATTATTTAAATCTCGCCTCCTGTAAGAATATTACAAATAAAAGACATTAATTATTATTAAATCTATTGTGTTTACTCCCCAACCTGAAAGTTTAGATGAACTTCGTCAACGCTTCATCGAAAGCTGCCATGGCAACCACAACATATTTTTTAAAATGTCCGTCAGAAATTTGAACATTTATTGAAATAAAAAGTGGTATTTTCGGGAATTTTTGTTTTCTATCTGAGCAATTTTCTTAAAAAAAAAATTGAGCGATTTTAAAAATCAAGCGTCAAAATAAAGTACTTCGAAAGACCTTTCAAACAAGCTATTAGTTGATACCTCTCAAAAGTGACTATGGAGAAAATTGGCTTAAAGATCAACGTTTCCATTGGTGAATAAATTTTTTCAAATAAAAAAATCCTTGTGCCTGAAAAAAATGTGAGACCCTTATTTTTGAAACAGCCCTCGTAATATTATAAATATTCAGGTGATTGATTCCTTTCTAACATGTGAGGCGTTTTTGGTTCATTTAATTTTTAAATTAATACATAATTGATTTTTAGAATACAAAATTTGACTCCCAAGCTATTATTTCTTTTGCATCACATGCCCAAGTAACATTTACGTGTGGTGATGATTGAATAAAAAGAAAAATAAACATTCTTTAGGGAAGTGTTGCTTGACCAAGCGCCATTTTATTTCGTTAGGTTTCAGGTATAAGATCGAATTATTTGGCGACATGTAAATATTATACACCAGTACTGACAGGAACTCAATATTATGATGCATTTATACGTGGACACCTGCCAGGTTGGATTTCTATATATAGGACTTTGTTTACATGTAATAATAACCATTTGTCGGAAATTACGTATTTTGATTCAACCTCTTTACAGGCTAGTTTGACCACAGCAAAGTTACACACGTTTACTTCCAATCAAATCCGTTGCCAATAAATGAAACATTGATCAACCAAATCGTGTCTACGCGTGTAGGTATGCGTCCATATACGAGGTGTATCCGAAAAATTGAATCTGGAACATTGACCTTTTTTACGTGAGATCTGTCAAAAAAAATCCAGGATACGTAATCTAGATGTCATTATTATTCCGCTGTGATATCTCTAATACAGATTGCGTCAATTATGCTGAAAACTAAAAGAAAAAAGTGTACCTAAAGTAGCCATCGAATCTAAGAAACAGGCGGCAAGCCTTCCCAGTCCACCGTTTCCTAGACCAGCATCCTCTTCTAGCTCTTCTAGTTCTTCAATATCTAGACCTAACTGATAGAGAGCTTCATCTACAGAGCTTTGGATACCAAGGTTGATCATCGTATTCTGTAGGGACCTGCCCATGTAGAACTCGAGGGACAGGTAATAGACCCTCTGAAAATAAGAATAGAGTAATTTTGTAGAGAATTTCCAGACCTATAAATGATGACCTTTTTTGCACTTTTACGTACTGAGGCTGCTACACTCATATATCGAGTCACCCGTATACGAAGAAGACTTTCAAGAACATAAATATGTGTTACCATATCCAAACCGCTAACAGCTTGTACCCGTATTCATTTAGACAATTGAGGAATAACAAATGGATCTAACTCCTTAACATTCATCATGAACGACTCAGCAGTTTGGTGACGAATCATGTGTACAACAAAAAGCCGTATGTAGTTTTGTAGTTATTCGCCATTCAAATTCTATTGGTACTAGGTTAATTTTAGGTTTGAAGAATGTTTGATGGGCGTCTCACAGGCCCTGTTTTATTGTTGCTTTACGTAAACGAGTCGCCTAATGTTGTACCTGAGGCAATGATAACTTCATTCTCAGATGATACCTCAATTGTAGCTTCTGGTTCTTCTGAGAAACAGTTACAAGATTATATAGATATTGCACTGTCTAGGCTGCATAACTAATTTTCAAATAATAATTTGTACAAGACTAAATGTAGCAAATTTCACACATGACAAAAAATAAATAATATTAATATCAATAATGTGAAATATATAAAATTCCTTGGCGTATATTTGGATTCCTGCATAGAGTGAAAGCAGCACTGTGACTATGCAATAACGTGGCTTAAATCATTATAGTATCTACTATTAAATTCAAGAGGTATTCTACCGATGAAACAGGGTTGTGTCAAAAATAGGGTTCAAAAGGCGGTAGTGCGAAAGTGGATTTCAAGTCTAAAAAAGTGTGCGGAAAAAAATGCCGACTATCCGGAAAAATAGCTTAAAGATCAAAGTTTCCAATGGCGAATTCTTTTTTCAAATAAAAAATTCCTTGTGCCTACAATGTGGGAAGCTTATTCTTGAAACAACCCTCGTATTTTGATTCTGAAAAGCATATGCGTTACAGAATTTAATTCTCGATAATATTTCCATATTTCGATATGCCTTTCTATTTTGAATGCTGGAAAACTAAGGAAGCTCCTATGTATGTAGAAAATAATTATCAGATGTACAGCAGTTGCTTGTACTAGAACATCATGTAAATGTTCCTACATACTGAAAACTTGTTTATACATATTAAAAAATAGAGGAAAACTAATACGAGAATTAGTGAAGACTTCTATATAACTTTGAAGTTGAGTCATTAATTTTCAGATAATGATTGTAGAAGGAAGATAAACCAAAATATGTGTGTAAAAATAAAAATAAAATTAAAAAAAAAATGTTACCTTGTTTTATAAAGTATCCTCCCGACAAATATTTCAGTGCGGACCTGTATTTGATCGTGCGGTCTTGGAGCATCGGCATGGCCTCCCCTGTGAGGTCTTAAGTCACCTGATTCACGAGCCCTTTGTACTACATTAACAAAGGCACGAGGGGTTGGTTGCACTCGATTGGGAAACCGATCCGCATAAACATGTGCCATTTTTTATTCCGTTTGAGCCACGCAACAGACACCACTATTCACTCACGCGTTACCGACTGACACTGACTGTATACAACTGAATAAAATAATTGTAAAAACATCGTTCCAAATTCTTTCGCTTTTTTGTTTCCGATGCGATGAACCGATAAGGCGGATTATATCCGTTGTTGCCAAACACGAGCACATAATATTATTATTGCGACAGGGCGGTACTCAAACTTCCAAAGGGCTATAACTTTGTTACTTTAATTTTACCAGAAAAATGGTAAAGGAAAAAAACATTTCATTTGATCAGATCTACCCACTGTTAAAATAAATGACTCAACGTCGAAGTCACCCTGTATATATATATATATATATATATATATTGAAGTCAAATTATGTGTAACTCCTCCAAAAGCTTTTAACCTACCGCCTTTGGAAATAAGGAATTGCCACAATCTAAAGACATTAAAAAAACTTTTAAAAGACTATCAAATTGAAAATAGCTTCTATAGTGTCGAAGAATATTATGATATATGCTGTTGATTCTTATTTTTTACTATTTGACTGTTTTTTTTTGTTAGATATAGGTTTTTTAGATTTAAGTTGAAAATGTATCACTGTTCCTATATGTTACATTGCTTTTTTTCGTGAGTTAATAAATAAGTAAATTTTAGTTTCTATAGAATATGGTGGCTGCCAAAAGCTTGTAGTTAGAAATGCATAAATTATGTTCAAACGTGAATGTTACCAAGTGAACTAGACTAGAATAGAAATATTATAAGCCGTGAACTGTTATAGGAGCACACTCTGCCAAAAAATATTCAACGCAATTCTCAAATAAATATTTATTATTGTTCCGGTACCTGTAATAAAAATTATTATTAAAATCCGTCATATCTGTGAGCTCAATAATATTTTATTTTATATTCGAAAAGCCGCAAGAACTTATTTAAATATCCCGACTATGAAGACATTGAATGTATCTGGAATTTTATGTTACAAATCAAATGGGAGACACTCATCAAATTTGACATAAAATATGTGAAACTGCTAGTATTCTTCCATTGTCATTTCCTAAAAAACACGCTTCCAGTTGTTGAAAAAATAATCAATCAAATAAAAAAGCTAAGAGACGACAGTTAAGCGATGCAGATATTGACATTACATAACAGCTCATCAGATATATGACCTAGACAAGAATTAAAAGACAATAATGTTCAATTCACTTTTATTTGGCCTTCCAATCAATTTATTTTGGGTGTAAGTCGGTTAGGTCAACTGGATTGACTGTTAACAGCGGTGTTGTTTCGCGAAGGTTATCATCTGTTGACTCATGAATCTTTGTTTCCTTTATGCTGATAGTTCAACAATTTTTAAAATGATTTATTAGTATATATATACTTTATAGTACAGGCAACTTGCCTTTTCTCGGGGAAAAAAGGGCATTTTCCAATGTTGAATATTAGGTACTGAACAAAAAGTCCAGTTTTGCATGAAAATGGTTGAAGCATTCTTCAGGGTGTAATTTAATTGATGCCTAAAAATACAGGATATGATTTTTATATATACGGGGTGTCCACAAAGTTGGGGTTTTCCTTTACACTGCGTGTAGATCTTGAAAACATAAGCAATTTTTCTTAGTACCATATACACCAATGTCTTAAGGGAACCGAGATAAAGGGCTCTGCAACATCAAAAATATCTGAATACCGTCCTGTATCCGCGACCCGCCACGATATCCCCGACTGGTACAAGGTCTCAACCCGACGGCAGAACTGGGTCGGGGTCAGTGTGTCAGGTCAGTATGCAACCTTCAACCGACGATAACGGTTACGCGTGTAGAGGTAATCGCGTAGACGAGAATCCCTCAACAAGCACTAGAGACGTGGCTAGAGAAGTGCAAGTATCAAAAACTAAAGTGTGGCAAACGCTGCGTGAAGAGGGGCTGTATCCGTTTCACGTCCAACGTGTACAAGCCCTTCAACCTGACGATTTTCCAGCAAGAGTGCGGATTTGTGAGTGGTTGTTGCATTGTGAACAGTATGCTCATTGGACCATTTATTCTCCCAAATCGATTGGACGGGATGCAATACCTAGACTTTTTACGCAACATTTTGCCTTCCTTGTTAGAAGATGTGCCATTAAGTGTAAGACAATCAATGTGGTTTCTGCGTCTGCTCGGTAGCGCATCAGCTGAGTTCATTTTCTGTTGGAGCGGTATGATTTCTGGCAGAGACGTACTTAGCCCTTCTCGTCAACTGGAGAGCGAGTACTTTTTCCTTTATTTTTTTTTACTTGGTCGCCCTCGTTTCACTACACATTACCTTTGTTATTTCAAGGGTAGTTGTTTCTCAAAAGGAAAACCCCAACTTTGCGGACACAATGTATTTTCATGAAATTTGACACATCGATAGGCCTTTTTTGCCTTCTTGACTTTTTTCGCCGATGTAGCGTTTTCGGGCGAAAAATAAGCAAAAACGCACCTTACCTACAAACTACCACATGAGATTTTAGCGGTTTTGCAATGCATGGAAATTAAAAAAAAACAAGTTTGTAACAGGTTTTGACAATTTCTGTGGATCAAACAAACTAATAATATTTAATTTAATTATCACAAGAATTATTGAAAATGTCCTAATGCAGGTTTCAATTCTCAAATCACACGGCAGTACTGCTTGAACCATTTGAATATGATAGTGGCATAGTAAATAATCATCAAGTATTTTCCAAATAAGAAAATGGGATACTTTTCCCAATCGAGTGCAACCAACCCCTCGTGCGTTTGTTAATGTAGTACAACGGACTCGTGAATCAGGTGACTTAAGACCTCACAGGGGACAGCATGCCGGTGCTCCAAGACCTCACGATCAAATACAGGTCCGCACTGAAATACTTGTCGGGAGGATACTTTATAAAACAAGGTAAACATTTTTTTTTAATTTTTTTTTTATTTTTACACACATATTTTGGTTTATCTTCCTTCTACAATCATTATCTGAAAATTAATGACTCAACTTCAAAGTCACCCTGTATAAGAAAATGCCTATCGGCACTTAGTATGTAGATGTCAAATTTTACGAAAAATATCTAGAACAGTATAAAAATTATGATAATAAATTTCTTAAAATTTTAACACTGTAACTCAAAACTTGACAGAGGCTTAGGACATATGTTTACATAAACTTTTCTTAATAAAATGAGCTGAGGAATCATATCCTGTATTTTATACACCCTGAATATGATTATCAATATTTTATTTGCTAATTTTTCAAAAGCTTTCATATGAAAATCAATAAAAAAACTCCAAAATCACCTATGGTGACGATACCTCGAATTTCGTAAAATAGCTGTTTTTAACTGGACTATAATGCATTAATGTTATCAATCCGTGTCTATACGTTTAAATTCGAAATACGAACGTTACTTCACGATAACAAATTTTATATTGAAAGGTCATCCACTGGAGATGTAGTTATTTTTAGAAAATACGGTAAGTACCGAAATAATGTAATGTAGATTAATACTCCACCTTCACCATCATAACCGATTAGAAATAGCTATTATTGCATTTAAAAAACCTGAAAGATTTCAGCTTCACAATACAATGCTTGGCGGATGATAGTGGATTCGTAATTATTGATCTATTAAAAGATATTTTAACAAATATTGAGGGTTTTTAAAAATCATTATACATCGAATATATTAAAAAAATGATCGATGTGCTTAATTGTCCTGATTTCAATAATAAAGAAATTGGAAAAGCACCATCTATCACCAGAATCGACCACTGCAGCTTTTGAGAGAAAAGCCTCCTCTTGTAGATTGCTCCACAATCTCGACACCGAATGATTTTGAAAAACGATCTGCATGCACTCGCGAAGCCTCGGTAGCGTTTCGAAGATCCTCACCGTAAATTAAAATAATATGCATAAGCCCTATATTGCTGTACGAGTGTCCCATCAATGAATTTGGCTTAAAAATGGTGAATGAGCAGGAATGTCGCGATTTTTATATTACAGATGGTTATAATTGAACTGTCCTACTTTCAAGATAACATTACTTATATTAGCACAAAGTATAAATATGAAGTTCAATCTAGTCGTAAGACAAAATCTTCAGTGGCTATGGCGACGAGTAACAAACAGCTGATCCCACGTACAACTTCAATTAAAATACCACAGATGGCGCTGCCCGATTGATCAATTTCAACCCTCATCCCTAGTAATTTCGCGCAAGCTCCTGTAGATTACGACCTGTTTTCTACCCTTAAAGTGACATTGAACATTCGGAATATCGATCCAAAACACGTGCAAATTCAAAAATTTGAACGAAACACCTCAAATACTTGAGATATTTTGACAGCTTAAGTCAAACAAAGCGTTAATGAGCACAAAATATGAACGAGTAAACACAAATGAAAACAAACAACAGAAAAAATTGAGTTTTGCGATTTTAGATCTTTTTTCTTTTAATAATGTTGCTGATCTTTGAAGGATGAAGCTTTGGATTGACTGCAGCACAAGAAGTGGGATATTGTGATTGTTTCATTCAAAATAGTCAAAATGTGTACAAAACATGACAGAATAGATAAAAACAAACTAAAAGCAAATAGAATTATATACATTTGGATACTTTTTCTTCTAATAATATTGCTGAGCTTTGAAGATTGAAAGCTTTGGATTGACTGCAGCACAAGAAGTGGGATATTGTGACCGTTTCGTTCAGAATAGCTAAGATGTATACAATGATAAAAACAAATGAAAAGCAAACGAAAAACATCTAGTTACCTTGGGATCTTTCTCGTAATAATATTGCTGCGTTCTGATCCATCTCGAGACCAAATGGTCCTTGACGGTGTGCGCCAAGGCGAAATAGTAATCCCTCGCTGTGGCTACATTCCTGTCTTTGACCAAGGTGTAGTGCAGATGCCGGTTGAAGGTTTTCTTGATTTCGTTCACATCTGAGATTTCTGCGATACCGCGAACACTGATCTGTTTCCTTTTCTCGGTGTCTGATTGCGGTCTGGACATTCTGAAATTTTCTGAGGAACTGAAAATACGGACGAGTCGTCTGATGCCGTCTACCCGCTATTTGTGTTGATAAAGGTCACCTTGGAAATACCGGGGATCGCAGGAATCTTGGGAAATGACAGTAGCGGCGGGAGCGCCGCGAGTACACCAAACAAACTTATCGCAGAAAAGTTGCTGCGTTGCCAGATTGGGCCGGAAGGCGGTAAATCCTACACTCTCGACGTCTAGGACAGTCTAGGGCAGAGTTCTCCAAACTTTTTTGTGTCGTAGACCCATTGCCATGTTTTTCCGTGTTGGGTAGACCCCCTACTTACCTGATATTGATTTCCTGTAAATTTCTAACTGTAGTGAAGCTGAGTGTTAAAAACTTAAAGTAAAAACACATGTTAATTTATACATTTATTAATTGAATTTAAATTAAAACTACTCAAAATAAAATTTTGTATCTGTTATGTAAAATATACGTAACATTAAATAAACAGGTGTCTGACCAATAAGTGCCCGCATTGGGAATAAGTGCCCGCATTGAAAAAAAAATAAGAGGGATGAAATAAAAAAAAAGTGAAAAATAATAAATACAAAGTTTTTTACTTAAAATAGTACAATAAGCGAGTTCGTTTATTAATTATAACATAAACGTATGTTCTACAATAATTTCACTGTTAGTTTGATTAAATTCCGCTTCTTATACGTTTAAGTTATCTAAAAATAGGCAAAAAAATAACGAATTTTAGTGTGTACCTATCCTTGAATTTTCAGAATAATTTAAAAAAAATATATATTTTCTATAAAGGGGGGTTCTTTAAAAAAATCAATGCGGGCACTTATTCCCAATGCGGGCATTTATTGGTCAGACACCAATAAACATAAAATAAACTATAAATAAAATAACATAAGCAATAAGTCAATATTTTTAGTGAGAAGGATGAACCTGATGCTTTAATAATAAATTATCAACATTTGGCGTCAATTTTGTAAGGGTTAATCTTAAATCTCCTCGGCTAATGATGTCCAGTCTGTTTCTTTTTTTCGTTAGGAGATTGGTAACAGCGCTGAGCCCCCTTTCCACTAGGTATGACGATGGAAAGAAAATTAAAAATTTCCTGGCAAATATTCCATAATACGGGATAAGTAACGGGTATGTTGTTTTGCAGCCAGAATTGCTGATATCCGTTTTTAAACTGAACCTTAAGTTCTTCGTTTGTACTTAGTTCAGTCAGTTCCTCTTGTATTATGACATTCGTTTCTTATATGTCACCATATGGATTAATTATCCACGGTGGTATTAACATAGTCAAAATATCCTCAAACCTAGATTCAAAATCTGAATAGAGGGCATTTAAATGTTGAACGTAAGTCATCTTCCTGGCAGCTTGTCTGTGACAAATTGGGGAACTGAGAAAATTAGCCCCGTCCAATATTTTGCTTCATTAGTTTAACTCTGGCAAGAAACGCTGATAAGATGGACTTTGTTTTAATCAAATTTAAACTGTCGCTTTGTAATTGCAAATTAACCATATTAAATTTTGTAAACAAATCTGTTAAATAGGCGATATCTGTTTTTCTCTTCATTAAATTTTCTTTTAAAATTTTATCTTTAGTATCCAGAAATTCTAAAATGGTCTCAAAAAGTGCAAAAAATCTTGTCAAACATAAGCCTTTCGACAGCCAGCGTACTTCAGTGTGAAGGTGTAATTGATGAAAGTGTTCGTCATTTTCTTCACACAACTGCGCAAATAGTATTCAACGCGTTGCTTCGGATTCGGTTTACTACATCAATGACTAAATGAAGTGATTCATGCAATCTAACACTCAAATTTTTAGCAACTAAATGTTGTCGATGGATGACACAATGTATTGCTAACACCCCTGACACATTTTGTTTTAAATAGCTTATAAATCCACGATAACGTCCAACCATGGCAGGTGCTCCATCTGTAGCTACTGATATTATACATATTTGATAAAGGAATTGCTTTTTCAATGAAGTAATCCTTCAAAACATGAAATATTGATTCACCTTTAGTGTCGGTTATCAAAGTTCTTGCGAAGAGCAGTTCTTCGTAGATTTCTTGATTCATAATAAAACGAACATATGCCAATAATAATGCTGCATTATCAGGTGAAGTTGACTCGTCCAGTTGTATAGAGAAATGGGTCGTTTGCAAATAATTACATAAGAAGCTTTCAATATCAGAACTCATTTCATCAATACGTCTTTCAACAGTATTGTTGCTTAAGAGAATTCTTTTAATGATATCAGATGCAGGTTTGTGTAAAACAGTTTTTAAAACCTCTTCAACGGCTGGCAAAATTAACTTCTCTCCGATAGTATGCGGTTTTCCGGATTTTGCTATAAGTAACGAGATATTGTAAGACGCCCGCAAACCATCATCATTTCTTTGTGACGTCGAAGCGAACATTCTGTCCAGTGTAGGTCTCTTCTGAAATTTATCTTTGAGTGTTTGAAAGTATTTCAAATCTTTCTCTGTTTTATCAGGGTGGCATCTTCTCAGATGATCTTGCAGTTTAGATGGTTTCATAGCGTCATTGCCCAAAACTTTGTTGCATAAAAGGCATATAGGCGATTGTTTGTCCGGCAATGATGGAATGAAGCCAAATTTCAAATAATCGACACTGTACTGTCTACATTTCTTTTTAGATTCGGACATGGCATCAGTCATCTGTGGGCAAAATTAAATTACTTTAAATAAGACAGAAAATCCAGCAGCTGTATATTAAAAATATTTTTTGATTTTTCCGAAAACATTCCATAATTCGAACATCTTCTTGCAACAATTAGCTCGAATTACGGAGATTGCACTGTAATTATATTGCCGATTGCTAAAACATTCAAAAAGAAGCTATTGAGGAGTACTCGTGTAATTTTGCATGATTGAATATTTAACTACTAATAACTAAAGTCATGATTGGCGTAATATATTTATCTTTGCTAACTACGAGTACAAAACTAAAATTTAATAAAAAATAATGTACTTACTTTTCTCCAGCACTCTTAAACAAAATAACACTGACTCATTATAATTTGTGTGATATACTACCTGTTTATATTTTTTAAAATATTTTCTTAGCACTTTCCTTTTAAAGATTCAGGAAACGAATACACGTATTTGTACCACATTCGTATTTATAGAGTGGCGAATTGAACAAGTCAGTGCAAGGTAGTGAAGCTCCCAGACTGCGACTCTCAGGTGTTTACAAGTTCAAAATGTATTGCGACCACAAAGCGAATACCAACATCCTACAACTTACACAATTTTATAAACATATATAATAAATTTTTTACTTCATAGGTACTTTTATAAATAATGTATATGTTTTGATATTATAAGATAGTATGATGTAAGTAAATAGGTACTATCAGTGTATGTGTTGAGATCCACTATCGTGGACCCCCATATTCATTCCATGGACCCCCAAATTTTTTTTCGCTGACGTAGACCCCTTGCAGGTTGTCATAGACCCCTAGGGGTCGATATAGACCACTTTGGGAATCAATGGTCTAGGGTTATACGAATGCTTCAACACAGATGGTTCAAGGTCAAATGTCTCTTTTTTCGCATTTGTTTCTAGTCCTTTTTATCTGATCATTTCATGGTGTTTATACAGATGACTAAAAACAATGCTATCAATTCTTTTTGGCAATATAAGCATTTTTTGTGCATTTTTCGTTCATTTTCTGGAAACCTCATTTTGTATTCCAATATAGCTTCCATGTGAAAAGAAAAAAAGGTGGTGGCGGAATAATTCATGTAGAATAAGTAACAATGACAGCAAGCAATTTATTTTAAAATGCCTTCTCAAATGAAGTCAGGAAAAAATAAAAGCGATTCTGGAATAAATCTGGTATAAGAAACAAATGACTGTCTGATAATTTCAAGGCCAACCTAGGAAATTACGCTTTTTTTAAATAATTAAGGTTTGGTAATGTTAATGCATTATACATATTTGGAATTAGAATAAGAAGCTCTATTTATCTGTGCAAAAATCCAATATGGCGTCCAGAAGAAAAAATAAAGTTGCTGAAGAACAAGAGACGAAACGTCAAATTGAAATTCTGATTATGCCATTTTGTAGAGAAGAAAAAGTGGCAATGTTAATGTACAATTTCTTTTAAAACGATTTTAGGAACATTCAGTTTTTCCTGTCACTCTCCGAATGTAGTTTGAATTTCGAAAATTTCTAGGCGGTTTTTGTTGATTACCTAAATAAGCAACCTTTTGAACACTTTTTCCACGGGAAACCTCAATACCTTATTTTATTATTCATTCGAAATTGCAGATCTATAAACCTAAATAAACTTTTATACATCGAACACAAAAATCTCCAAGTTGAATGACACAGTTGTTTTCATCCAACGACGTGTGACCTGGTTCGCGGAGAGAATTTTAAAAATACGCTGGCAGTAAACTACCTATTTAAATACGAGTCAAAAGACATTCCGTAAACTTTTTTTAATTTTTTTTTTACGAAAGTCCTGCGATTTTTTATCGAGCATAAATTAAATTTAACGGTGCTGTTTATAAAAGTTTATCAGAAAGATTAATCGTAGGCACATGCAAGTACACGTACTTTCTTTTTTTATCAGCCTTATCAACGTGTCGGTTCCAGACATTAACGGTCGGTTTCATGTAACTGTAATTACTATTACGAAGTATTTTTAAAGAGAACGGAAGATTAAATTATGTTCTAACTCTAGATTCTAGAACAGGGTATTCACGTTTCCAAAAATGCTCAGCGCCTTCAACGTATTGCTTAAGCGTTTTTGAGAACGTGAATACCTATCCAAAACACTATTTTTGAGTTTTTCGACATTGTAATCGTTTTGTCCCTCATATCGCAAGATTGTTGTACTTAGAGAGTATTTAATCATCTTTATTAAATAATATAGGATTTGATTTTCAAAAAACACAAAAAATTTGAAAAAACGATTAAATCTTTATTTGAGTCGATAGAACGGTCGATATAATTTAATGTTTAAAGATTATTTCATGTAAATGTTGGCCGCGGCTCCGCTTTAGATGGCCCATGCGCAAGGTCCAATTTTGGCACACTCTCTCCAACATATCGGCCGGTATCTCACGAATAAATGCTTCAATATTGGCTTCCAGTGCGTCAATCGTTGCTGGTTTATCCCTGAACACATTAGTCTTAACATGGCCCCACAAGAAATAGTCCAACGGCGTTAAATCACACGATCTAGGCGGCCAATTGACGGGCCCCAAAGTGAGATAAACTGTTCACCGAACTCGCCTATCAATAGGGCCATTGTTTCGTGTGCGGTGTGGCATGTGGCACCGTCTTGTTGAAACCACATGTCAGCCAAGTTCAGCTCTTCCATTTTGGGCAAAAAAAAAGATTGTTATCATCGCACGGTAGCGCTCGCCATTCACAGTTA